GCTGTTGAGGCGGGGGACGTTCGCCCCCCGCCGCATTTGCCGAGCGTGTACTTGTGCGCTATGCTCGCCGTGAAGGCAGGAGAGCGCACGGATGTACGGCTGCTAGAGGTGTGCGTGAAGAGGGCGTATCGGGTGGCGGACTGTCTTGCGTTGATGGCGAGGGGGAAGGCGGAGGGCGACGGTGGTGGGGGGAAGATTGGCGCGTGGGCGAGGCTTGCAACCGTTGACTTTGAAAGACCGGCGGGCTTGTTTTTGGCGGCAGAGGACTTGGGGAGGGTTGGGGATGCCCGTAAGCAACTAGATATGTTAAATTGTCTGGAGAAGTTGCTGAACGGGGATGAGGGTGAGGTGCAAGAAAGCGTGAGAGATGCGGAGGGAGGTCAGCTGTGTTTAGGGGGTAGACGGGGTGTTACTTTGGTGGAGGTATGGGCGATGAAGGGGCGTGCTTTATGTGACGTCGGTGAGTTTCGAGAAGCGATTAAGATATTGAGTGCGGTTCAGCGGCAGTTATGTGAGGGGGAGATTGAAAAGGGCGTGCCTAGACTGTTAGCGAGGGATGTGGCGCTGGACTTAGGGCTGGCTTACGTGGCGGCTGGGGACGCGGATGAGGGCGTGGCGTTGCTGGAAGGTTTGGGTGTTGTTGTGGGGGGTTTGGAGTGGCGGGCGGCGGCGGCAGCGCTTGGAAGGGCGGAGGGGTTGTTGAGGAAGGGAGAGACGGAGGAGGCGTTGAGAGCTGTGAGGGAGGCCATCAAGTGTTTGCGTGTCGGGGTGTTGGACGATTGCGCGGCGGAGCGGTTGCTGCGGGGGGTGGCGTACCATAACCTCGGCGTGTTGCGGTTTTGCGGCGAGGGGGGTGCCGTGGGGGTTGACGAGGCGTTTGCGGCTGCGCAGGCGGCAATGGGGAAGTGCAGTGGGGAGGAGGCCGGCGTGTCCAAGGAAGCGGAGCGGATGATGGAGGCTGCTACACTGGCGAGGTGTGTGGCGATGTGGAAGGGCGGGCGGGCGGAGGATGCGGCTGCGCACTGGGTGGCAAAGCGGGGAGAGCAGGTGGACTTGGTTGGGCCAGGTGCTGGGGAGGTCGAGGAGCCGGAAGATATGGGACCACGTGCCGCATGA